GGGCCGGTCCGGCCCCGGGGGGGTTTGGGGGGGGGGAGCCCCCCAGCCTCACCTGTCCATCAGCTCCCAGTCCTCCCCACCCCAGCGGTCTCTGAACTCCTCCGTGTTCATCCCTCCCACGCGGTCGAAGTCCGACTTGTAGATGCCGAAGAGGCCGAAGCCGTTCACCTCCCAGTAGCCTGGAGGAGGGCGAGCAATGAGGCGAGGGGTGTGAGGGGACCCCCAAATCCCCAGGCCACACCCCCCACGCTCTCCCCGCTATTTGGGAACCACGGGAATGCCCCACCCCAACCCCTCTTCCCACCATGGGTCCATCCCCATCCCCACCACCTCCCACGGGGGGTGCACTGGGTGACAGCCCGGTTTTGGGGGGCACGCTGGGTGCGACGCCTCGGGCTTCAATCCCATCTTGCCAGAGCAAAACAAACCCCTCCTCCCCGCGCATCCGAGCCCGGCTGTGACCCCGGCCCAGCAGCGCAGCTCTCCCCCGGCACGGCGGGGGGGGACACATGTTTCCCAGCAGCAAAGGCGTCGTGACAGCAGAGGGGACCCCGCTCACCGTTGGGCTCCCGGGGGGAGCTGCCGCAGCTCAGCCTCATGACGATGGGCGCGTAAGCCAGCTTCCCCTCCACGCAGTGCTTCCGGATGCTGTCCAGGATATTGGGGGGGAAATGGATGTGCAGGTCGCAGAGGAACACGATGCTGTGCCCGTCCTACAGGAGGGGACAGACAGAAGATGGATCAGGGCGAGGCGAAGCCAAGGTGAGAGCTGGTTCCTCTCCCCCGGCTCACCTCAACCATGTCCACGCCAGCCTGCAGCCCGGCCGAGCGCTCAAAGTTCCCTGTGCGCCGCAGGTACTGGTAGCTGAGAAGAGAGGACAGGGGGTTAGCGCTGGTGACCGAAAGGGATGCAGCCCAGAGGGGGACAGGGACCATCAGCAAGGAGAGGGGACCTTCTCGGGAAGGGGGTCAGGTGCCTACAACTCATGCAGAAGGTTCCCCCAAGGAGGCGGAGGAGGTTTCTGCATCCCAGTCTCTGCCACGTGGGAAACAAGTTTAAACCCCCAAAAAGGAGGAGGAGGAGAGGGACAGCGAGGCAGAGACCCGTGCCTGGCTGGGGAAGGAGCGGGTAGGTTGCGTGAGCACCACCAGGACGGCCGGTCCCACCACGAGGAGCCCCGCAGACGCCCCTCAGCAGCCTCAGGGGGAACGGGGGGGCTTACCGGGGCAGTCGGGCGTCTCGTAGGGCTTTCTCGACGTCCATGTCATCGCTGTCAAAGTCTACCAGGATGACGTTGAAGTTGGCGTCCTTCGTAGCCCCGTACAGGTGGGCCATGTCTGAGATGAACTGCTGGACCCAGCGGGCTTGGTTCTTCACTGCGGGACACAGCCACAAACATCCCTCAGGCTCACCACGGGGCACCCCCTTCCCCAACCAAGCCACCCCCCCCTTCTGATGAGAAGCATCTCATGAGAAGAGACCACCTCACCCGCCTTGGCCCAGCCTGGAGGATGCAACCGGGGAGCAAAGGGGTCGCCTTCCTCCCCACCGGAGGATGCTGAGGGAGCAGCAGAGACCCTGGAGAGACGCGTCCTGCTGTCACCTACCAGGTACCACGAAGTGCACCATGACGTCCTGTTTCCAGCTGAGCCGCAGGGGCCGGCACAGGACAGGTCTTCCGTAGAGGATGCTCCAGGCGCTTGGCTGGGGCTCGGTGGCCCCCAGGGCTGGCCCTTCGGGGTTGGCCTCAGCACTGTCATCCTGCTTGCCCTGGTGCAAGAGGACGTAGACGTACTCGGAGAGCCGCACCGTCCGCTGGCCCCGCTCCGCCAGCTCCAGCTCTAGCAGGTAGCGGTTCCCCCGGGCCGTGTCCCGACGCTTCTCCACGTTGACGATCCTCAGGAGGGTGTAGATGCTACGAGGGAAGGAGAAGCACTTGAAAGCACCATCACCCCGAGCTCCGCTCCCCGCAGCTTGAGGGGGTGGCCTGAACCCCCCATCCACCCAGCTCACCCAGCCCCAGGGAGCCAAGCGGGAAGGTGGCACGTCCTTCCCACCTCCTGCCTGTGGCCCGCTCCCTCCCTACCCTCCATTCTTCTCGTTGAGCTTCTCCATGTACTGCGCCACCACGTCGACAACCTCGCTCTCGCTCAGCTGCAGGTTGCCCGATACGTTGCACCGCAGGTCGTTCCAGTCAGAGCGCAGGAGCTCGAAGTCCACGGAGCTGACACTGAACGTCCTCTGCCAGTTGATGGAGTCCTCCAGCCAGCTTTGCTGCAGCTCCCCAGTCTCATAGCTGTAGTCCGATACTTCCTCCTCCTCCTCCTCCTCCTCCTCTTCCTCCTGGCCCTTTCCCTCCTCCTGCTGGGATGCCGTCATTTCTGACATCTTCAGAAAGGATGTCACCCGTGTCCCCTCTGAGTGGGTCACCTCGGAGGAGTTGTAATCGGGGGTGGCTGCTGTCCTGCCTGGGGCAGGGGTCGTGTCCTCATGGGTCTCCCTGCTGAAGAGCCCTTCGGTCCCCAGGGCCAGGAGGCTGGGCAGCGCCCGCCACTCGCTCCCCAGCTTGGATGGACGTTCCCACCTCCTGCCACCTGCCCGCGTGCTCTTCCGCCTGGCAGGGTCCCTCTCCTTGGAGATGTTGCTCAGGAGCCAGGGGGTCCGGCGGCCAGGGACGGCGCGGAGCTTGCTGGAGGCGATGGGATGCTTCTGCGGGGTCCTGGAGCGCAGGTGGACTTTCTTCAGAGGTTTTGGGTAAAGGAAGATGCCAGGGAAGACCGGCTCCTGGGCCGGGGCTTTGCGCTTCCCTGGCTGCAGCCTGGTCACGTAGACCTTCTCCTGGGCTTTCCGGGGCTTTTTGTCCTCCCTGGGTGCTGCGGGCTTGCTGGGACCTGGCGTTTTGGCTTTGCCACCAAAGATGGGAACGGAGAGGTGGGGCTGGAGGCTCAGAGCCCCGGCACGCTTCGAAGACGCCAGCAGTCCCAGTTCATCCTCCTCATCCTCGCCAGGACCCTGGGGTAACCAACTGAGCATCCGCCCCCGGACCTGCTCCGGCGTGGGGCCCACCTCCTCCCCGCCACGGAGATCCTCAGGGAGAGCCGCCGGGCTGCTGCTGGCCTGGCGGGACGTGCTCCATCTTCCCGGCTGCCCCGGCGTGCTCGCCTCGCCCCGGGCCTGCCCCTGCTTGCGGCGAAAGCTGTAATAGTCCAGGTCACCTCCGTAATCCCCGGTGACCGGCAGCGTCTCTTTCTCTTGGGCTCCAGGTACCGGCCCAAAGCTCCTCTCCTTGGCTTCAGGAGGTGGGTCTGTGGGCTCGGGGCTGTCCACTCCCTCCTCTTCCTCCTCCTCGTCCTCAAGGAAATCTGGGGAGTAAAGGCAGAGATAAATACCACTGCAGCATGCCGGCCCAACACAAGGAGGCAAAGTCTGTCTCCAGCAAGGGGTTAACGCTGGGTGAGGGAGCCTGAGAGCTGGCGGGCACTGACCCATGCCCACCAGGGCCACCAGCTCCAGGCTCTGCCCATTAACCCCTCCCAACCTCGGCCACACTTTGGCACCACTCTGATTTCATTGGGAGCAAACCCAGCCTGCCGGGGCTTCGCCGGGCTGCAAACCAACAGCGGGGCCAAGCTCCCAACAGCCCTGCTCCTGCAGGTTCCCCCCCGGGCATCCCCAAGCCCCCACAGCAGCTCTGGTTGCATCCCAGCCCGGGAGATAGAATCATAGAATCATAGAATGTTTTGGGTTGGAAGGGACCCCTAGAGGTCACCCAGCCCAACCCCCCTGCAGGGAGCAGGGACACCGCTAACCAGATCAGGTTGCTCACAGCCCCCTCCAACCTGGCCTTGGATGTTCCCAGGGATGGGGCCTCCACCCCCTCTCTGGGCAACCCCTGCCAGGATTTCACCACCCTCATTGGATT